CCCCGCCCAGCACACAGCGCTGCAGGCCCCACTGCACGCAGGCTCCGCTGGCCTCAGGTCCATGCAGGGGAGGACGTGCCCACGGGGCCTGGCGAGGGGACGGAGGGCAGCAGGTATGTGCACCCTGGAAGACCTGTGAGGGGAGAGACGTGCGTGTACTGCACCCTTGAAAGCACCGGGGAGACGGCAGGAGCCACAGACTATGGATCCCCAGATTCGTACGTCAAAGCCCCAAGCCCCAGTGTGATGTTATTAGAAAGAAAAACTCAGGGAGGTGATTGGGTCATGAGGGTGGAGCCTCATGAATGGGATAAGTGCCCTGATAAAGGGACCCCGGAGAGCTCCCTGGCCTCACCCACCACATGAGGTCCCAGCGGGGAGACGTCATGTAAGAACCCGGAAGAGGGCCCTCATCAGACACGGGGTTGGGGCCCCACGGCCGCCAGAGCTGAGACAGGGCGAGGGGGTGCGGGCCTGTCTCGGAGGACTTCTCAGCTAGGAGTCAAGGCCCCTCCCTTCTGGGGGGTCACGGGTGGGGCCTGAGGGGCAGAAGGACAGAGTTGTCGTCCAGCAGAAAGCTGAGCCCTCGGAACGCGTACCCAGGGTCTGGGCCCCCAGCAGGGCCCCTGGACTGCTGGGCTGCATCTCCACCCCTCCCTGCCCCTAGGCTCCCCACACAGAGGCCCCCCCCCACCCAGGGAGCCCGGGAGGTGCTGGAGGCCAACAGCCACGGCAATCCCACACCAGGCTGCTGGGGAAGAGCCCACTGGGCAGTGTGCTGCCCTCACTCCCACCTGCAGCCACCACTGGCCAGCAGAGGGTCGGCACAGCCTGGGCTCCATTTAGGAGTTCCCATGTGCTCTGGGGGCCCTGCTGCACAGGTCACCCTCAGACAGCCCGCCCGCTGACACCCACGATACAGGGACCCCCGCACACCAGTGCCAAGGATGTGTGGGCAGTCACGAGACTGCTAGGCGTCCGAGGGGCTGCACGTGTGGCCCACCCACGGAGCTGAGTGTGGTCCTTCCCGGGCAGAGCCCCTCAGTGTGACACCCTGCACTGGACATGGCAGAGCCTGGAGCCAAGGAGGGGGCCCGACATCTAACCAGACCCCAGTGGGGATTCTTCCGGACGAGCAGACACGGTGCTCACACCGGGCAGACGCTGCATCCTGAGGAGGAGGACAAAGGAAAAACACATCTGAACAGCCAGAGAACACACCACCCACGGAGGAACCGCCGGCAGGCTTACTGCAAAACCACCAGAGGCCTGGGGACAGACTCTGCCCCGGCCCCTCGGTCCCCAGGGTGTGAGGGACGGGCCACAGAGGACTGAGAAGGGGGCGCCCGGGTGGGGGCCTGGGGGTGGGCAGGGGCACGTGAGGAGGGGCGGAGCCGGAGGCTGGGGGGTGCAGAGCCCTGCGCGAGGCCCCGACTTTCTCAGGAAGGCGGGAGGGACGCCAGCTTCCCTTCCGTGCCAGGAAACCTCACTTTTTAAGCAAATGGTAACAAACGACCTAGAAAACAGGTTTCCTGGAGGGAGTGAAAGAAAAGTTCCAAGGAATAAATGACCAAAAATCACAAAGGACAAGCACAGCGGAGAAAAGACGACAGAGTAAGCGCGGCACACCATCCGGCGCCGACACGCGAAGGCGCCCGTGTGGGTCTCCAGCCGCTGCTCCTCCGCACCAGAAGGCAGACGGCACGCGGGCGCGGGGACGCTTGCGCGCGAGGAGTGGGGGATGTGCTTGAGGAAAACGCGGTATTCGGGTAAAGGTGACAAATGACCAAAGGGCTTGTCACCAGGAAGCGGAGCCGTGGCAGCCCCGCCCCTCTGGGATCAACTGGAAGGTAGAAACGCTGTGACCCAGCTGGGTGGTGACCTGGAGGCACCAGCCGCCACCCTGGGCCGCGGGTCCACAGAGAGATCCTGTGCCCAGCAGGCCAGGGCGAGTCACAGAGGCTGCATGGCAGGACCCCTCCATCCCGATGCCCCGCCATCTACGTGGCCTCAGCTGGAGCAGATACCCCTCTAAAGTGGAATCCCAGGAACCCCATGGCCCTCCTCTTACCCCAGACAGAGCCGGCCCCAGTTCCCATCTCAGCTGACAGCCTGTGGGCGCCCCCGCCCCACCTGGGTCCCACACTGCTCAGATCTCCACCCAGACCACCGCCCATCTTTCAGCCTGCCACCTCCAGTGGCAGATCCACCTGTCAGCCCGCCCAGCCCCACCTGGGACCCCTCTCCCACACTCTGGCTCCACCTGGGGCATCTGCGATGCTGGCCACAGCCCCAAAGAACTCTTGGCACCAAATGTTCACCGAGGTCCACTTCTTGGGCCGACACCTCACGTGCCCTCCCACCCCTGCTCCACTGCTGCTCTGCTGAGAAACAGGTGATCTGAGGAGAGCTGTTTCTCGCACCAGCCAGCACGCAGCCACCCGCTCCTCCTGGTGCCCCCCTGCCACACAGCACACAGATGCTGACCCCAAGCCCCTCTGGCTGCTGCAGAGGCTGTCACCGCACGGGGTGCAGTGTCACACCAAGGTCAGCCCAGTGGTCAGGGGCACCAGCCCCCAGGCTCAGCCACTTCCCACCACGGGCACAGTGCTTACTCCTGGGGGCCCCACCTCCCAGGTGCAAAGCTGCCACTGCGTCCGCTTAGGTGGGTCCTGCCTCACAGCCTGTTCTCCATGGAGAAGCCCCGAGACCCCAAGAGGCAAGGAGGCAGAGTTGACACCAGCGGAGCCTCCCCTCCCCAGGCAACGACGCCGTGGACACTCGCTCCGAGTTCTGGCCCTGCTTGGAGTCAGTCTCCTCGTGTGGACAAGGCACCAGGCGCGCCTGCTCGTCGGGTGAGCTCCTCATGGACCACGACCCTGCCAGTCACAGAAGATGTGGGGATGGAGAGAACGCTGCAGGCGAGCACCCCAGCTGTGCCCAAGCACAGCACTGCCTGGACCTCGCCCAGCCACGGGGAGAAGCCCTCTGAGAGGTTTCAGGCTCTGAGCAGACTAGAAGGCTCTTCCCTAACCCCTCAGTGGTGCCACCCCCACCCACCGCGAGGATGCTCGGGCCCCGGGCCCCTGACACCCTACACTGCAGAGACCCAGCCAGGGGTCCGAACACCCTGGACTCTCCCAGGGCTCTTGGAAGCCCTGCGTCCCCTCCTCAACCGCCAGCCAACCTGGTCCCCAGGACGTCCAGGGGGCAGGTGACAGGAAGCACATTTGGAATGTCGATGGAAATGCCAAGCCAGTCACAGGGACGTGAGAGCGGCGAGGAGGCAGGCCCCTGCCAACCACAAGTGCACCTCCCCGCAGGCCTTCGTCGAGCACCCAGCTCCACAGCCACCCCCTCCACAAACCCAGCACACGGCGTCACGGCCGCTGGCCTGGGGAAGGGGTGCGGGTCTGCCTGGAGAGGCCTTCCGGGACGGCACGGAGCCAGCCACGCGCCGGAGGACGGTGAACCCGACGCCCTTTCTCTGTTGGTTGGTAACACGTGAAAACGGGGCTGCCAGGCTGCCTCTGACTGAGAAAGACCTCCTCCTCACTCTCGCCTTAGGGGTGGCGGGAAAGACGCCCCAGCAGGAAGGAGCTCCCAAGGGACTGTCTTCTGCTCGGTCTACCCAGACACGTCCTCTTTCACTCCTAGCACAAAAAGCTTAATTGGAAATCCGACTTGTTACCCACTGAGCCCTCATTTAGGGGAGCTGCCTTCTGTGGGCAGGCGCTGGGCTGAGGTCTACGCAGCCGTCCACCCTCTCCTCCAGCCCGTGCTCGCCGCCCAGGATGGTGGCACTGGGCTCCTATTTTGGGTACAGAGCAGGCTCCACGCCCCGAGAGCAGCGGCTGGTGCAGCGGCTGTCCCATCCCCGCGGGCCTCTGTGGTGGGGCCAAGGGATGGAATGTCGGCCAGTGCTGAGCCAGGCCCCACGGCCCCCCCGGGGAGGGGTTTCTAGCAGGCGTCATTGCTTTTCTCGAGGGACTGGTTCTCCAGGAGGCCAGCAAGAGCAGGGGAGACAGGCGTGGTGTCCTCTCCGCGGGTCAGGGAAAGGGCTGAGCGTCCTGGCCGCACGGGGCCTCCCTGCAGACTTCCTCCCCCTCCCCGGGGAGGCTGGGGGCCCCCTGTCTGTGCCAAACTTCTCCCTGAGAACGCGCATCATCATCGCCCCCAAGCCAGGGGGCCTTCCTGTACCAGGCTCGCATCTGCCGACGACACAGACCTGGGCCACTCCAGTAGGGCCCCAGCGGCTCAGTCGCCAGTGGTCCTGTCCCCTGCCCAGGTTACTAACGAACAAATGTCTGAAACCTTCGAGGACACCTTCGAGGACGTGCCAGAACCAAGGCCCACAGGCAGGTGCTGGTGCCGGTGGGGAGTGGGACAGACACCCCAGACGGCTGAGGCCTCAGTGTCCCACGGGACCCCAGCTCTGCTCCGGCACAAACCCAGGACTCCACACTCAAGGCACTATCAGCCGGAGGAGCCGGGACCCTGTGCCCCTCAGCATCACAGCGCAGGCCCACTGCCCCCAGACCCCAGGGGCATCCTGGGTTGGTGCTGACCAGCCCCGATGCCCACCCCTCCTGCCACCTCAAGCTTTCACTGCCAGGCCGCCAGCCTTTCCTGTGCCCTCTCCTCTGGGAAGTCCCCTCCTTCGCCCTCCCGCCCACGAGCTCTTCTGAGTCGGGCCCCAAGCCCGCCCCCGGCCCCACCCTCACACCTCTCTGGGGTCAGGGCAGGCCTACCCTGCAGCCCCAGGTCGGTTTTCTCTCAAAGCAGACGCGGCCCACAAATTCATCACAGAGTCCACCAGTGCCCTGTTGCTGCACTGGACAATCTGCAAACACACTCCAGGCCCAGCTCATCTCCCAGAGCCGGGCCACCAGGAAGGCACACCAACACGGGGCACAGTGACTCTGTCATTCTCTGCTAGCTTCCACTTAAAGCAGAGTGAGTGTCGGAGCCCAAGCTGGAATCCAGAGAGCCAGAGTGCGGGCAGCCAGCGTGGGGCTGGAGCCACTCAGCACCCCTAAAGGGACCCTGAACAGGGCCAGTGGCAGCGTCCTGGCCACAGGGTCACTCACAAGAGCTCAGAACCCAGGACAGGGCCTTACAGCCAGAGTTCGCACTGCCCTCCCACCCAGCGCACCCAGCTTAGAGGGGCAGGGAACATGGGGCCCACCCCCACTCCTCTGCTGGGCCCCACCACAGGGCACCTGCAGCGACTGCCCCCACCCAGCCCCTCGGCGGCCAGGATGCCGCTCCCAGTGCGACGTGGGCCTGAGGCTCTTCCAGGCCCCTTGGAGATGTGCTGTGTCCACTCCCAGGTGGCAGAAGCCAGCCCCACGCGCGTCTCGACACTCCCAAGCAGGGGGAGAGCCCCTACCCGGGCTCAGCAGCAGCGACAGTGGCACTGGCTGCCAGGAGCCACAGTGTGGTGACGCCATCCTCCGGGCTGGGGGACACCTGCACAGAGCCGCCCCTCACGCCACAGCACCTGGGGCCTGGGAATGCAAGCTGTGCCGGAAAAGCTCATCCAACTCTCGCATCTGAAAGCAGGGAGGTCCTACCTACTCGAGGTCCCGTGAAAGCAGCAGCATCAGTGCCCCCGGCAAGGCCAGCCGCAGGCCTGAGCTGGGAAACAGGGTTGAAGCTCAGTGAAGGACGCCAGAGCCCAAGGCCCCTCCCCAAGGGTCTGCGCACCGGGGCATCACCCAGTCCCCACGGGGACCACGTGTGCCCTACCAGGTCAAGTGAGACAGGGCAGAGGCTCCCAACACCAAGAAGGAGGCACCCGGCCCTGGGCAGATGGAACCCAGGTCTGAGAAGAAAGCAGGGCCTCTGAGGGTCTCACCACTGGCCTGGCCCAGGCAGGAAGTGCACGGCCAACCCCTCCAACAGGGCTCAGCCTTCGTGGGGACAAAGGGTGCAGTGAGACAGAGCCTGAGCCCACGCTGCTCACCTCCCACCCACGGTGTGTGTGCTGCACTGCACCTGCGGGGGGTGGGGGCGAGGGGGGCAGATCGCTGCACGGACACCAGAGACGGGGCCCGCTGATGGCCAGAGCACGAGACAGAGCAAGACCCAGCCCATCTGCCGGCGGAGGAGAGGCCAGGCCAGGCCAGACTCTCAGCCCACCCGAATCTGTCCGGAAGACTGGGAGGGCAGAACCCCACTGCACGTTGACCTGAGCCCCTCCCACAGTCACACCTGTCCTGGCCCCTCCACTGTCCCATCACTGGGACAAAGGTGCCTGGGGCCAGGCCACCAGATGTCTCCCAGGACCTATCCTGGCCCAGCCATGCAGGAGACCCCGGGCTACGACCCTGACCTCCACGGGGCGGACTACCAGGCCTGCAGAGCTAGGCACTGAGTGTCCACCGCCGCTGAGAGGGGCTCCTGCAGAGCCTGGCTTCTCGGTCCACAAAGCGCAGAACACTGGGCACCACCTCCCTCCAGCGGCAGGCGGGCAGTGCGGGCTGGAGACACTTGTGGATGGAAAGGGCTGGACTAGAAACTCTGTCCTCCAGGACAGGGATGTCCTCTCTACGCATCACAGCCTCTTGCAAAGTCCTCCTTGGCTGAGGACGCATCCGTGACAACCCGCCTCCAGGGCAGCAGGGAGCCCAGCTGCTAAATAGGCTCACAGGCTATTTTTAGGGCAACTGCCAGTGCCCCATCTAGCCACCACTGAGCAACCAGCACAGGCAGCTGGGAGGGGCCAGCTGCTCATGCACCCTCCACCCTCTGCATCCTGGAGTCCAAAATACTCAGCGCCAGCAGCAGCGACAACTGTGAGCTGATCTCTAACGAGACCCGAAGCGCAGGGGCCGTCTGGGACGTCTGATGGGACTCAAGTCATGCGGCAGGAGGGCACGCTGGACTGGGGGGCCAGGGTGGAGCTGCAGCACCAGCCCACATGGTGCTGGGGTGCTCCCCACCCTGCCGTTCCCTTCCCACCTGCCCCTGAACACCCCATCTCTGCGAGGGGTCATTCTGGCCAAGCCCTGTGATGCCTGGACTTCCGAAGGAGCCTCGAGATCAGACTTGCTGCCTCCACATGCCCATCACAGCGCAGAAAGACTCCTGTCATTTCTCCAGACTGGCCCCCCGCACCCACCTGCACGCAGACGCCCCCCTCCTCATCTGACTCCCCGGGAGGAAGCGGGGGGCCTCGTTTTGCAGTCCAGACCCCAGGAAGAGAGAAGCAGGCAGTGGAGCGACTCGGGGGCCCTCCTAGCCATCCGCAGGCCACTAAGCACCAAGTGAGGCGGCACCTGCCGGGAACAGCTGCCTCCTTCCACACAAGAGCCAGCTCAGGAAGACAGGGTGCTCATGGCACGAGCCCACGGAGCTCTGGGCACCTGCAGACCCCTCCAGGTGTCGTCCAGGTGTGCGCTGGGGCTCCGCGCCGGCCAAGCGGCCAGGCCTCCCCAGAGACACCCCGCCCCCGGGCCTGGACGGCCGAGGTCAGAGTCATCAGCCTCTCCCCCGACGCAGCCCTCATCCGGCAGAAGGAGCCCACTCTCAAAGCCCTGCACCAGCTTCCCAGCCCACCTCCCCCTGTGCACACGTCCAGCCCACCGCCCAACCAGCACTGCTCCCGAACACACACCTGCAAAACGGAGGAGTGACCTCCCCGTGCTCCCGAGCACAGCATCCTGCTCGACACCAGGCCTGCCGCCAAGCAGCTGCCCACAGACCCTCCTGAAGGCTGGGGTGCAGTGGGCCGTGGACAGAAGCAGAAAGGAAGGCTGCGAACTGGCCCTCGGTCCGCCTCTGTGGACACCAGAGGGAAGGGCGACCGCACGTCCAGTCGTGTTCTGGCCAAGAGGAGGCAGACGGGGCAGAGGCCCCACCAGAAGAAAAAATGCCTGAGAACTTTCTGGAACTAATGAGAATCATCAACCCACCAAGTCAGAGAGTCCAGTGACCCCCACTCGGGCCCAAGAAGAGCAATCGCACCTGCATGCAGCTGGGGGTCGGGGGGGGGTGCTGCACCACCTCCGGCGGGAAGTCAGGCCTCACACCAGCCGCGTGCGACACAGGAAGGCCTCCCCGTAGCAGAGCCAAGCGCCAGCTCAGGGCAGATGCCGCCCAGCTCCACAACCCGCAGGACAACCTCCAGGCCCAGGGCAGACGTTTTCAGATCCGTTGAAAGAACGGTTACCTGCAGACGCTCAGTAAAGGGAACCTAGAGGTGAGCTTTCAGACAGAAAGAGGGGGAACGATGCCAAGTCCTGAGACGAGAAGAACGAAGAAACACAGTGAGGAGCTTGAGGTTAACCAAGTATTAACAACACAAAGCAGTAAGAGGAGCCCCACACGGGCTTAAAATGCAGACAGACAAACTCACTAAGCCAGCTCCGCTGAGCGCGGACGGGCTGCGGCAGAACGACGCGCTCTCGGGTCCCAGTCGCTCAGGGGAAGCACGGCGAGGCCCGCAGCGCGAAAGCGCGCACCAGTTACCCGGCGACCCCCGGCCAGTGACACGGTGACCAGCGCCAAAGGGGTGGGGGAGAGGGAGGAAGAAAGAAAGTCAACACACCGTAAAGTACGACAAAAGAGAAGAGTAAATGCGAACAGTGTAGGGACAGCAATCAGCGCAGACACAGAGCGGCGGCCATGGCCCGGCGGCAGTAACTCGCACAAACGACAGCGGCCGAGTGCCTCGTTTAAAAACAGGGCTTGTCAGACGGAATGAACGAGCTCCAGCCCACGCCGAACAGCCGAAGACGCAGTTGGCATGTGAGGACACAGGAGAGCTTAAAGAAGGAAGGTGGGGAGAGCTGTGACAGGCAAACAGTCTCCGAGAGGAAGCCGGGATGGAGAGCCACGCTGCTGTCAGACCCGCGGCCCAGAGCA